ATTCTCCTCTTTTTGTCTTGGAAATGAAGACAAAAGGCAGTTCTCCAGCTCATCTGAGACCTTTTCCCTGATTTACAGACACCCTGGCATGGGGAGGTGTCAGGTCAGTAAAGTGAATTTAAGGTATCAAAGAGCAGAGAAATAGCACTGCAGGATGTCCTGCTGCCTGTCGGGCAGGGACATCCTCTGCAATACAGCAGCAGCAACTGATCTGAAGCCACATTTAATGTTAGACTACAAATACTCCTAACTGCAAAGCTGCTTGTAAGTAATGCCAGTGTGACCAGGATAAGCGCAAAGCTTTCCCTTCATCCTTATTCTTGGTAATTCCTACTGCAGCCCCAAGCAAAAGGCAGGTAGATCCTGTGCTGCAGCTCTCTAGAGAGCAGTGGTTTAGACTGAAAGCCAGGTGGGACTGTGCTGCAGCACAGTAGCTGACTGTGTGCACCGATTTATTTGATGTAAAAGTGAGATAACGTGTTATTAGCTTGGTCTGTAGTAAAAGGACATTGCACAGCATTGTTCTTATCATGGGCTGAGAGTGTGTACTCTGGTATTTATGGCAGCTGGGCCTGTGCTCAGCAATTTCCCATAAAAGCTGTCAATTAACTTACTTCGTTCTTGTATGCAGTCTCAGAAACAGCAGGGAGTGTGATCTGTTGTCGACAGCTTGTGCAGGGTCCAGGGCCATGCTATGCTCCTAGCATGGCCATTCTTATTAGTGAAAGTATTACCATGGCAATGAAAGTACCTTTAAGTTGAGAACCAAGCACAATAACAAAGCCTTGGAATGCTGTGAAGGAAAGACGTACCGGGCCTCCAAAACTCATCATGTTAAAAGGATACTGTGGAAAAGCAGCAGTGGAAGAGGAGATTGGCAGAATGAAGTATGCTTTGGTTGGTCCAAAAATGGGAAAAATTAAAACAACAGGATCTAGGGACTGGAGAAACAGAGGAGAATGAGAAGAAATCTTTCTCCAGAGGAGTGCAAGGTTATGCCTGCTGCAGATGCAGTAAGGTCTGCCCACCAGTGATTCTCCAAGCTCATGGGGCATCCTGGAAAAAGCAGACATTACTGTGCAGGGAAGATGAGTGTTGGACAACAACTGCAGGAGATGCCCGAGGTCCAGAACAGCCCAACAGGAAAATCTTACAACTCGCATAGCCGCCACAGCTGTCAGAGTCTTTCTTTCCCTTTTAGGTTTGGTCTAGCAGCTCTCTTCCAGAGATCCAAAGCTGAAGATTCCGGTGCATTTTCAAAACCCTGGTAGTATTTCATTTTGTAGTGGTCCCTGTCCATCTCTGGGACAGTTCAGGTCCATCTGGAGGCAGATGAGAGGAAGAAGAGTTGGGAAGAAATGCTGTCTGAGCAGAAGGTGGGCTTGGAGCAGGTCACCTGCAGGCCCAAAAGAAGGTTTAAGATATCCCAGGCTCAGGAAAAACAGAATTTCTCTTCCTGCTGGTTTGGTGTCACAAGAGGTGAGGTAAAATTCTGCCAGGTTCAGGCTGCTGATTGTCTCTTATTATCCTTTTCATCAAATCATTCTTGAGAGCTCTCTGAAGCTTAGATGCTTTTATCTTACAGCACCTCAGAAGACATTGCTTCAGCTTTATAGCCTGGATTCATGACCCAAATGATGCATGAGATCCCTATTCATGATGCAGAAGGCTATTTTGGTTTTGCATTTTGATTTCCACTAAGCAGCCTCCCTCCGGAGACTCCAGCAAACATCTTCATGCAATATTTACTGCAATCGTATCACTTACAGCATGGCATGCTCTCATGGTTTTGCTTATCAACTATAAGGGGACACTGCTATCCCTCCACATGCAGGCCACAACCCGTGGGATGCTCATGGAATTGCCACACCACCTGAAATGCAAGGACCCTCACATTTCCCAGGCCAGAGCTAGGTAATTAACAAATGCAGGTGCCCGTTCCTGCAAGGGCAGAGGATCTTCCTTGCTGACAGCCTTTGCTTCTGGGCTCCTGGAGGCCTCTGTCCAGGCTGGTGGTGGGGCAGATGCTGGCAGCTGGCAAGGTGTGGGTGACAGCCCCTTGTCACCCATCAGAGGCTGGTCCTGTCACCTGAGAAGCTCTCTCTATGGGACCAGCCTCTGATGGATGTGATCTCCAGTGCTGGTTGTTGTCCTGTGTGGTGTCTTGTCTCCTTCTCTTTCTGCTCCCCACGGTGCTCACCTCCCACATGCACTGCACAGGGCTGAGGGTCCTCTCCCACAACAGCAGTGGCTTGGTTGCCTCAGCAGGCTAGGCCAGCGTGCTCAGGTTTCCATTAATTGCCCATCATTTGTCACTCCTTGCAGCACAGCCCTTATGGGGCTGTGGCAAGGGTTTGAAAGTCCATGATTTAGCTGATCAGTTGTTATGGAAAGGCTGAGATTGCCTGGTGGAAATTAGACTCAGACTTTCCACCAGCTGAAAGTAAAATAAAAAGTGATTTTCCTCTGAACTGCAATAGGTGTGGGCAGATAAAACCTAAACCTTGCCCCTTTGTGTGAACGAGAATGACCTTTCCCAGCTGTACCAAATGCAGCCACACATGTGGCAGTGAGATGTGCTGATGCCACTGTCGCATAAAGGAGAAGAAGGGGCTTTTAATGAGGAGTGTCTCATTGACAGAAAAATGTATTTCAGAACCAGAGACATGTACTGCTTTCTGTACACTTTTTTTTTCATTGAAAACATTAAAACAAACAAACCAAATCAGTTTAGAGTGTTGGGGATGAAAAAATCTCTGATTCCCGACATAGCTTTCCTGTATGAAAGTTTTCTAATGGCTAAAACTTATCTCTCTATTGTCTTCTTCCTTCTTCCTTATTGTTTTCACTAGTCTTTTTTTTTTTTTTTTTTTTTTTTTTTTTTAGATGATTGTAAATGGAGATATCTTTTGCTCTGTCCTACAATGGCTAGGGAAAGAAGCTAGAGGACAGAAACAAATTGATAAATGGAATAGATATATAAATAGATAGACAGATGGATAGATAACATAGATCTCAGAGCTTTTACTCTGACACAGGCTGGAGTCATAAGAGACACCAGAAAACATGCAGAAGAAATAGTCAGTTGAAGAGAATTACACCCAAAGTAATGGCTAAGTTAAGAAGATTTTGTGTAAACTGCATTGATTAAATTATGTACATAGTGTCATAAAACGGATATTGTTGAGAGAACTGCCGGAGAGAAACAGATTTCTCACTGTGGCTACGTACGATCTGAAACAGGCTTTATTTTAAATGGGGCTCCTGAACCAAACACACCTCTAAATGGACCTGATTTCCAGAACCACACAGACCTGCTATGCCATGGACTTTGGCTTATGCTACCCAGTGTTACTGTCAAATCGTGTGGGTAAACCACACCACAGTGCAGCCCAAGTGTCCAAAGGCTACAAAGGATTAAAGTAGAGGCTGCAGAAACCTCAGGTTGTCCTGGGAGGCATGACTTTTCCTTGATAGATGGGCAGAAGGAGTATGGCACACCCAGAGGCAGACATGGTCCTGGTCCAGTCCTCTCTACCCTGAAGAGGGAAAATGTCACCAGGGACCTTAGCTTGCCTTCGGGGTGTGGAAGGATGTGGTGGCACCATAGCAGAGAAACTTCTCTCTGGCCAGGAAGAGTTACAGCAGCTGATACCTTGAGTGGACTCGATGATCTTGAGGTCTCTTCAAACCTAGAAATTCTGTGATTCTGTGTGAGTGCCCTCTGTGGGGGTCTGCCAAAATTTGTTATGAGATGAATGGTGGAGGTGCACCTCAGGGAGCAGAGGAAAACCGAAGCACAGAAAAGACAAATGCCCCTGCCAGCCCAGAAGCAAAGCCTGTGGTGATACGAGCACCCCCAGTGCTGGAAAAGGCTCTGGTGACAGTCTCTGCTGGAGTCTCACCAGAGGTTGGAGGAGGCAGCTCCAGGAATAAAAATTGCCAGGAGGCAGCTGCTGTCCTTGCTCAGTCACGTCAGAGCTCAGGACTTTAAGGTAAAGATAGAGATTAATTGAACCACAAAGTGCATGAATCTCTATGGTTGTGCAATCTAATCGTGGTAATAAGGAAAGCCTGTGCAAACATGATATGACAATTCTGTCATCCCTCCTGTCGCAAGCACACGATGAATCAACACCCACTTTGAGTTTTAAGGTCATCAAGCCTATGTATCCAGAGCAATGGATCTCAAGGGTAAATCCTCCTTCTTGTACCAAAACACAACACCCAGCAAGTCCTTGGCTGCTCAGCTAATGAAGTTCAGCTACACTGAGCATCCCATTGCCGATTCTGTTTGCTGCAAATTTCCTATCCACCCCATCTAGTTCAACCTTTTTTTTTTTCCCCTTTTCCCCCTTTATGCACCAACTTTCTCCCTTTCAGATCCTCTTTGCAGACCCCAAACCAGCTGTCTAGTGCTAATTCTTTTTGTATAGTACCAGACCCAGCTGTCATGTTTCCTTGTTACCACAGATACACCCTGGAAGTCTAAAATAGAGAAGAAATAAAGGAAAGCAGGATATTAAGGATCCATAAAATCCACAGGAATACAACTCCACAATCTGGAGTATTGGTGGGCTGGATCCTACTAGCATCACAGGTGTTTTGTGCAGCAAGGCTAAACCCAGTAATATGAAAGCGTCAGAGAAATGGAGTGAATAAAAACAAAACCAGACGTGCCTTTATGCTCTTTTATGTTCTTGCTTTTATGTTCTGCAAGTGCTCATTTCCCACTCTGCAAGTGCTCATTTCCCATCCTTTAAGCTACCTCCCACCCCAATTTCCACCATGCAAGCCAAAGAAAGGAGCAGGTTGAGTGTTTCTGCCTTTCTCTGGCCAAGACACAAGCAAGCCCTCTAAATCAGATATTTCAGCCGAGAGGAAGACTTGGAGGAAGTACTATGCCCCCTGAACTAAACTGCACATATACAGGCGTACATAGAGGCATGTATGTATGCATGCCTCCCCACGCCACTGCAGGTCAAAGATCTGAAGATGCCTTCTCCAGGTGCTTGCTGTGAACCACCAAACCCACATTGACGCTATTCTTCTAACTATGAAGCTCAAAACAACTTCTATGGTTGGTGTGGTGTGGTGTGAACCCCACAGAAGCGTTGCCACCCAGAGCTACACCAGGGCACGCTCCTATGCCACGGCTCACACCCTCGGCCAGGGTCCTGCCCATGCCAGCCCACCGCTGAGGGCTGACACCCACCAACCCCACTGGCAGAGCCCAGCCTTGGCCCGGAGGCTCTGCTGTTCCTGCCCTTGGTGGTGGCCTCCTGCCAGCACAATGAGACAGGCAAGATGGGGCTCAGCAGGCAGCCCACACAGGATTCACTGTGAGACTCTTCTTTATTCTTATCCTTATCCTTATTAATATCGTTTTTTTCTGGTGCAAGCTCATCCAGCACAAGTGTGAGGGACTGTGAAGGATCACAGTGAAAACGGGTTCATTTTGCTTACACAAAGCAGTTGTTCTTGAATCAGAGAAAGCAGTCGTTCAAACCATGGTCATGGGGGCAGAACTGCAAATAGAGGCCATTTTAGCCATAAAATACGGAATTTATGTTGGCTTTTCCTTCCAGGGGGATTGCACTGCCCACAGCCTTGTGTGCACCACGTTGACAGATTTCACAGGCACTGTTTTGCCCTTTGGCTTCTCTTCACAGAAGATCTCAGCCCTGCTCTTTTTCCAGGTCTCCGTAGATTAAGAAATGGCGTAACTGAAAAAAACACGCAATGAAACCAGGGCAAAACTCCTGAACTGACATTGTGAAACAGACTTAAAGCTTCCCTAAATCCACATGGATTCAACACAAGTACAGACCTTGGTTTACGCTGAATTTGGAGCAGTCAGCTTGTTGGCGCCTCCCAAGAAACATCAGAGCTGGTTTCGGCAGAGAAGGCCCAGACCTGAAGGCATCTCCACAGGATGACTCCTGCATGCTCAGGATGCCAGCTGCTGTAGGGACGGCTAACTTTCCCTGAAAGCCCCATCCTGAAGGACATGGGACTGGTGTCCATAAAGTGAATTGAAGCCAGCTGGGTTGGTGCAAACTGATTAGGCCTGAGCAGGTGAGGCCTGCACCTGCTGCCGCTGCATCAGAGCAGCTGCTCACCATGGAAATAACATCTCCCTCAGCTGCAGGACCTCTTCAAGAGCTGGGGGCTGCATTTGTGGAGCACCTGTAAAGTGTACGGAAGGAAGAACAAGCCTGCTTTTCCTTTCAGATACTCTCTGGCTCAGAGTGTGCTCTGTGCTGGCCACTGGAAAGGCCTGGCACTACGCCACTTCCCTGGGCAGCATCTTCCAATGCTTGACCACCCTCTCCATGAAGAAATTCTTCCTAAATCCCAGTCTAAAGCTCCCCTGTTTTAACTTGAGTCCATTTCCTCACATCCCTTGCCACCTGAGAAAAGGCCTACACCTCCTTCTGCAACCTCCTTTCAGGAAGCTGTAGAGACCAGTGAGGTCCCCCCTCAGCCTCCTGTAAGCCAAGCTGCTCCTCTTGTGTAATGGGCTACAATTTCCTCCATCCCACAAAAATTCTCCATTTCAGGTGTATTTTAGGATATCAGACAAGCAAATACACCGTGAATATGTATCTGTTCTTCAGCCTTACTCCAATTGCTATGGAAGGAAGACCACGACACAGTCCCAGTGGAGGGGAAGTGCATGCCAGGAGAAAAAAACACTGCTGGTGTCCCCCTTCATGTTCTTCCCAGGATGAAATTCCTCACACCAGGAGGAACCTTTGCCAATGTGTTTGTCAAACCTGTGCCAAAGTTTGTCAAAATGCAAAAACTCCCTTACCTTCACCAAGGAGCATAATTATCCCTTTATGCCTCTGAGCATGTGACCATATGAAAATGATCAATTTTCACCCTTCCAAACTCTTTTTTTTTATATATTTTTATTTTTTAATACCCTGTTAAAAGACAGGTATGTGAGCAGTCAACATGGAGACAAACCTGAAAGGGGTACAAATGCTGAAGGGGACGCAAATGGCAGTCCAAAGGTGACAAGCAGCTCAGGGACCCTGGGAGCTGGGCAGCCACCATCCACTGGGCCTGGCATGGTGGTGCAGCAGGATTCACACAGCATGCATGGCATGGGGGAAAAATAAGCAGAGAACATGTCTCTTCTTCAGGTAGGTGGGAGGATAACTGCTGTGCACTGCCCTGCCTTGGGGCAGTCTCCCCAGGCTGGGGTTGTCCATGGTAAGACAATGGGTAGGCACCATCACTCAGCTAGCTCTGCTCCTCAAGCCCTTGCAAACAAGAAAAGAAAATACAACTGAAACTTCTACCCCTTCCTCTGCTGAGGTTACGGGACCATCGGGGGACAGCACCTCTGTGGTTGCTTTGCACAGGAGCTTGTTGTCCCACACCAGATGTTTGCCTGCACAGCCCTGTGGGCTCCTGCACCCTTCACACTGGTGCAGGGGAACATACACCTCCAGGTGCTCTGAAGCACTGAGAAGAGACGAAGCTCTTTTTAGAGACACATTTGATGTGAAGAGTGCTTTATCTGTGCTAAAAGTACCTAATAATAAAATACCTGAAGAGAGGTGTTTATATAAATAGACAGGCTCAGCTTTGCACAGGGAGCATATTCCCTCCAGAATTTTAAGTTGTTAACCTGCTGGATGGCCTGAAATGGTCTTACAGTTCAGAATAAACATTACGACACAGAAAGCAGAGAGAAAGCCAAAATCCAGAGAAAAGCAGTCAGCCCAGTAGGCAGCTCCTGCAGAACACACTTCTCAGCCTGCCAAGCTGGGTCCTGCTCCCAGGCTGGTGATGGGCACCCTAAAATCTAGGTGCACATCTGAGCACACCAGGCAGATGCAAGAAGCAGGCCGGGTGACCACCAGCTTGCACTGACTGCATTTACCAAACACTGCCTAATCTGTATGCTTCCCCAAACCCTGGCATTTTATACGCAACCAAAACCACGAAAGAGCAGCAAAGGCTCTCAGTAGCTCCAAAAGGTGGTTGAGTTTCTGGAGATGCAATTTTCTCCACTTTTTTTTTTAGGTCAAAGTTTTGACTATGTGTATTATCCTAAGTCCTGCCCATACACTTGGACCTTAGGAGGGAGGGGAGGGAAATAGGGGATTTCCAGACTTCTGGAGAACAGCAGCCTTACCAACTCCTTGCCAAAATAAGCATGCTTTTGTTTCTCTTCTTAAGTGAAACCATTTGTTAGATTACTCGCCGCAGTGGATTTTAGGGGTACTCACTACTTCATAGGAAGAAATCCTGGGAAGAAAAACCACAAGGAGGCTGAGGTATTTCCTCTCTCAGGAACCAGCAAACCCCCCTCTGCACTTCAACATGCAGATAAAAACACAAACACCATATTTGTGCACTAAGCCCTCTCGAGGCACCAACATTATTACGGTTGCACCACCAGGAAATTTCACTACCTACAAAAGCATGGCAAGGTTTTCCATGGCCATAATGCACAGGCAGACATCAATGCATGGAAGGGATAGGAATATGTCCGAGCACCTGGCAAGGGGATGCCACCAGCATCCCTACCAGGGTGGTGTTGACAGGAGCATCAGGCTGGGATGGTGTGAGCATCCTCCCCAGCAGAGGTGTGGAAGGCTCCTGGCATGTCTCTGGGGACATGCAGACCCTGGAGGAAGGGGGCACCAAGGAGGCAGCTGTGTGGCCTCCATGGGGGTTGGGTTAATGCTGCTGAGCACCGCTGTTTCCAGCACAGACTGCAAGGAGGAGGTGAGCAGCATGCACGCCAGAGCAGCTGAGCAGGGGCTGCAGGGTGCTGTCAGTGGACTTCCCCCTAAATGGCACGTTGTTAGGTCTCGCGTCGCTGCCACAAACCTCAGTCCCTGCAAAAAAGTTTCCAAAAACCCCATTTTCTGGTGGTGGTATTACCTTCTTCCCCTTTCAAAAATAAAATAGCAAAACAGATCTCTGTGGCATCCAGCCTGTGGGACTGAGCATCCAGCGCTGCTGCGACTTCTCTGAAATGAACCAGACGTGGCAAAGGCTGCACACACCACAGCTTCGCTTGCTGAGAGGCGAGGACATGCCTCTCCCCTGCCTGGCCTCACGGGACAGCCCTCCAAGAGAAGGAAGGTGACAAAAGAAGGGCCATGAGCAGGCAGACTTGCTCCTCCAGCCTCCTCCTGTCGCTGAGATACTTGGAGAGCAGGCAGCTGATTTTGGGTGCACCCTGCCACAGGCATTGCCTTGGGGAATTGCCACAGGTTGGTGTCAAGAGCCCAAAAAAACAAAACAAAACAAACAAACAAACAAACAACAACAACAACAAAAAAGAAAACAAAAAACAAACTAAAGAAAAAAAAAACGGAACAAAGAGGTGAAGGGGACACCAGACTGCGAACAATCACCATGTTACAGGTTTCTCCTCTCTTTTGCACAGGAACAAGGAAAGCAGCAGAGGAATCCAGGCTAAGGAAGGAATCAAGGCTAAGACCTCAGCGTGCCTCTATTCCTGTGATGTCTGGTGCAGCACCGCAAGAACACGGTGTTTGAACAATCGGTCTTTCTGGCAAGTGGGAATGTAAATAGCCCCAGACAGCAGGCAGGCAAGCACACAAATCAAAAACATTCTTCATTTACTTAAGTAGCCACATTATATATTTATTAGAAAATAAAGGGGAGAAGGTTTATTAACGCCACATTTTCTGTTGTTCCTAGTTATATTCACAAACATATGCACCAACAAGCATGTAATTTAAAATTGCATACAAAAAAAATGAGGGGAAAAAAAGGAGTTGAAAGTCAAAAATATGAAAGTCAATACATTTAGCTTGAAAGTGAATATATTGCATACAGGTACAATATTCTAGTGGTTAATGCTGCTTAGGTGGCTGAAACCTAAACCTAATCCAATGCACAGCTTGAATTCCCGGAGGCCAGAGGAGGAAGGTGGTGGCAGGGGGAAGGTTGGAGAGGCAAAGGGAGGGAGAGGGGCAAAGAGAGGCGTGCTCAGTGCTGAGGGCAGCGCCTCAGTTCCCTCACCCCCCAAAACAGTGACTCTTGCCCAAAATGCAATAAATTGACGCAGAACCTGTGCCTGGGTGGGTACGCTGGGGTTGCACAAAACACACTCTGTTTCTTTTTTCACCCAGTTATTTCAGGAGTGGCTCATGGCTGATGAGTGCAACCATCACCTCATTTGCATTGTTTCCTTCTCAGACCAAGAAGGAGACAATTTTTGGTTCGGGGTGGTGGGAAGCTTTCCCCCACTTGTGCTGAAGTGAAATTATTTCAGACCCGTGATTTGAATACCCAGAGAGAGCCCCAGGTGCTGTCCTACAGCTGAATGCAACTCTGCTCTGTAACAGGCAGCACAGACCCGGCTGTCTGTGTGGCACTCCTGAAACGAACGTGGTTTTATTTGAAGTCTGGGTGTCACGGGTGTCCTTTCAGTCCCAGTTCTCAACAGCAGAAGCTGGAAAAGCAAGAGCCCAAGCCCTCAGATTCCTTAAACAGCTGCCTGGGAGAGCTTGCGCAGGTCAGCAGGTTAAAGGAACACCACTGGTAGACAAACTATGCAACCAACCTGTACAAATGAGAACCACAGAGCTTTAGAAGAGAGGTTGAAGGCCTCTGAAGGTCTGTTCAGCCTGAAGGTTGAAGAGGATCGTATCCATGTACATAAAGACCTGAGGGGATGGAGCCAGGGATGCTCATCACGGGCTATTTGGTGTTGTTTGCAGAAGCAGGGATTATCCTCCATTAAAGAGCCTGAGTCTCAACGATTTTAAGAGGATTTAGTCAACCTGACCAAACTCAGGTGTGTAGTGATGCACTTTTTTTTTTTTTTTTTCCCTCAAAATACTGGGTTTCAGCCAAGTATGGAGAAAATAGTCCAGGAGCATGATTCAGGAGATGGGTGGCAAGGACTGCTGTCTGCAGTGAGACTTTCCAAACAACCTTCTTATCTCAGAACAAATGCTAAAAACAAAGGCTTTATACATATACATATATATATATATATATATATATATATATATTTTTTTTTTTTTTTTTTTTTTTTCTTTTTAAACACTTCCCCTCTGTTGCTGCCTTGGCAGGAGCCAGAGCCCAGCAAGGGACTGCCAAGCCTGTGCCAGGCTCGCACCTCCTGCACCCCGTGGCACATGGAGATAACATTCACCAGCCACAAGTCGAGCATGTCCTTGGGTGCCCTGGTTTTCCCCCACTGCTAACAGCAGGGAGGAAGTGGACATTTTCTCTTGCCGAGACGAAGCTCATTAATCCACTGATTGCAGAGCTACAGCGGGAACAAACGACTGCCACAGATGCAGCGGAAAAGGCCACAGCACAGACCGGGTGAAAGCAGGGAAGTTCTGGTGCACGCTGACAAAACAACAGCACTTCAGTCCCTTCAGACACTTCATTACCTAGAACAGCCCCCAAAATTTAGGAAAAAATGCATCCAGCCTGTTTGAGATGACAGCACCAACTTCCTGGGGAGCGAGAAGCTTGAAACAATTTGCAGCCAAGAGGGTTTGGGCTGCATGGCAGAGATTCTGCTAAGATCAGCCTCGATCCTGTGCACGACTGGAATTTTTCATGTTCTACGGACACGGCTTCGTTGTTTTGTACATTAATACAGAACGGGCCCTGCTGTTCAGTAGCAACAAACCCCCTGAGGCAGAAACACACCAGCTTCTCTCAACAGAGGGCTGGAAATGCCCAATCTCACTTCTGGCCGTCCCTTCAGCTACGGTTCCAAGCGGAGTGAAATCATCTCTCTGGCCATCACCTGCTGCACACAAACACCGTCTGTTTGGGGGGCAAAGCAGGGGGATATCCTGCAGTTGCATTCGGGCTGCCCAGGGGCTGTCTGCCTTTACAAAAGTGCCACTGAATGTCAAACACGAGTGCTTGCTGCTGGTGGCAGTCTGCGGGCAGACCAGGCTCCTTGCATCCAGAGGCAGTCGTCCTCGGCCATGTGCTACACAGCCCTGCCTGAATATCGTGATGAGGATGCCGCAACGAGAGGGTCTCGGAGTGGTCTGCAAGCTGCAGATAAAAACTGGAAGCTCTCACGGCTCGGAGCTCTCAGCCCCACCAGCTGGCTTTCCTCCTTTGCCAGCTGTAGACCTCCAGACGCACCATGCAGCCATAAAGCAGCTCTTGCCAAAAGCCCCGTATAATTCAAGGGGAACGGGCTTGTTCTAGACAGCTAGCCTTGAACCCTCCAGAGGTCTGAGCCTGTCTTTAAACAAGAAACCTGAAGAACATCCCTAAGATTTCACCTCTGGTATTCTTCCTCATTACCCAGCATGTTGCAAAAGCACCCAGATTTGTCTATAATTTGTCACTCTTAATTATTAGCCATAGGCAAACTTAACAATACATTCACTTCAGCTCTCTCTTTCTGTTCTTTTTTCCCTTTCCCTCACATTTTCATCCTAGGGCAAAGCTCCTTTACAAAGATCTTCAGGGACAAGACAGTTGTCCCATGGGGGAAAAGCAGAAGTCACCAAAAATGAACAGAAGGAAGGCAATAGGCAAAGTATGTTGCTCAGGTTTTGTGGGACTGCCAGCTAAGAAAGCAGTCTGAATTCTGCCTCAGTTATTGACCTCACACAAAAAGCTTGAAGAATTGTTCAAAATTATGAGAAAAGAGTCCAGAAAAAAAAATAAAATGGCATTATCCTTAAGGCTTTCCTTACTTAAAGACCAAATGAAACTGACTACAAGGCCCAGTGGCTCAGGATTACTTGGTTATAATCTGCTGACGCTTAAATTAGAAAAATAATTTACCTGTCTGGTCCACCCCCAGAAAAGAACAGATTTTTTTTGTTTGTTTTTTTATTTTTTCCTTTGGAGCATCTTCAAGACATCTTAATTTTCTTTTCTTTTGAGTGCTAATTATATACTTATATATAGCTATATATAATTGCATATATATGTATAATCATAGTTGAATATATATGTACATATATATGTATATATGTGCATATATATGTACATATATATGTATAATCATAAGTGAATGAATACAAAAATAAACTGTTAGCTCTGCTGACTAAAATCACTAAAAGCCTTCATAGTTCCCCTGTATTTCCTTATTCCAAAAGGGTTTGTGGCCATTTCTGAGAGTATTGCTGCGTTTTATACAGGTCCTGTTTGAAGCCTTGTGTTGCTTCAGCATTCAGGTATCAGAGGAAGGAAGCAACCACTGCCACCAGAAGCAATTTGCTGCTGAATAAGTAAAAACAAACACTTCCAGGCGACAGGCAAGCCTTGGAAGAGGAGGAGCTTCTCATGGCACAGTAGGGTAGGGGGAAGGGAAGAGCTCTGCAGTCACTGAGCTCGCGGCAGTCCTGTCAGCAGACCCAAGTTTAGCAGGCCCGGAGGACTTAGACCCAAGTCACGAACAATAACTCTCTTCATGTCAAAGCCGAGTGACCGGACCTCTTCTGACAGCTCCTGTCTCATGCTTCCAGTGGGCTCGCTGGCTTCCTGCACAGCCAGACGAGCACTGGAGCCTGACCTCTTCCACTCGCCCACAGGCTGGCCCTGTGCAGGCAGCATTAACTCCAGCTGGCACCAGGCTGGGATTGGGCCACGAAACCAGTCTGGGCGTGGTTTTGTTATTTTTTCCTTAGGAGCACATCCCCGATCACCGATTTGAGCCACCGCAGAGTTAAAACACCAAGCGAGGAACCATACATACCTCCTCCAAGGCCAACACACACGTACAGTCAGTGTGGAGATTACTTTCCTAGGGGAAGCTCCCCACCCACCCAGATATGCAACAACATTTGGCATTGTGAAACAATTCCAACATGGGATTTAGTTTATTCCAAATGAGCATGTTTTCTCATCATTTAAACTTATACTCTGAATGTCCAAGTTGTAGACTCACGTGACAAACTTCATTTTATGCATTTTCAGACCCAAAATCTGGATTGAGTTCGAAATTATTGCTATTCTACACATTGCTATCCTCTCTTTCAAGTTTTTATTTTTCAGACATGCTTAAAAGTCACTCTTACATACTCTGTAAGAGCATTCGAGTCACTTTGTAGCACTATGGAAGTTTTTTTGTTACTATGTGACACTGTTGTTGTCCACTTTTTAAGCTCTTGAGAGACAAGATTACCCAGACAACGCCTGGAGCTCAGACCTACCCTAAAATGAGGTAAGAAAATAATTGTGTGAGGAGTAAGAGGCCTTTAAAATGAATGAAATAGCTTTCAGAAGCGATATGAAAGCAGATGGATATAAGCAGGCATCAACTGTTCAAGCCCTGAAAACAGGAAATGAAGGTAGTCAGCACTATCAGGAGACAGAAGAGTGGCAATGAAAGGAATTCAAGTGGGAAATATTTCATTTGAAAGCACAGAATAAAAGCCAAAACATTGCTTAATAGGGAGGAAATTAATAAAAGGACTCGAAAGAGGGATTTAAGTATTGTGCTGTGTGCTGTGCAGCTGCACTGAGCACGAAATGCATTCAGGAATATTTATGTTTCTATAAGCAGTTATCAAACGATTCCAGGGGTGTTTGTTTCCACCATCCCTCCCAGACTCCAGCAGCTCTGTTGTGCTCAGTCTCTTATTAAGATTTGCATGAAAACTGGTATTAGAGGATGTATTAAGGAAAAGAAATACCAGTCCGATGACAGCGCAAGCACAGAATGCTTTCTCAGCAGTAGTGCCTCAAAGCGAAGTATGAATGCTACTCCTCAATTTCTACAAATTTTATAGCAAAGACATCTATCTATAAAGCCTTAATCTAGGCTGATTAGTTACAGTAGTTTTCTATCTGATCAGTTATGATGTTTCCATACACTGAAGTTATTCTATAAAAACCTAAGGATAGCTCAAAAGATTTAGGCACATGAAAGGTAATTTCAGCAAAATGTAAAATCCAAAACAGATGGCATAGGTGTTAAAAAAAAAAAAAAAAAAAAAAAAAAAAGAAAAGAAACACCACAGCACTCTCATTTATTGCGGTGAAGATGAATTAGAAAAGAAACCCATTAAAACTGTCATAAACGCTTTAAATCAAAGCTGCCTTGTTACAATGCCATTGAACAAAATGCAAAAAAAAAAAAAAATGTATTCCAAACATTGTATTCAAAATTTATTTTTAAATAAAAGAAAAACAAGACAATGATTTTAAATAAACATGGTACATTCTACATATCTGTATATCAACACAACTTTACATTAGCCATTTTTAACTTTTAAAAGATCTGTTGCAGCATCTTCTACAGCATCTGACAGTGTTGGTTTCCATTCCATAATCAACCAGACAATACTCAAATTAAACTATTTGCTTAAGCTTCAGTTTTTTTGACCAAAGATGGCTCTACTAATACAAAAGCACCCGTTAAACAGTTATCCCCACTTACATTTTTAAAATGAAGCCTGTTCAGCCTTTTTTGGTTTTCTGTTCCATTGCCTGCATAGAAATCAGCATAATGCTACGTTGCAAGCTATGCTTCACTTCAACAGCGCAATGAACTGCATCGAACTTCATGAAACAAAGATACAAACAAAGATACAAACATTATCAGCAAAATTCAACTATGTAGAAACTCTTAAAAACAATGTTTTCGTGGGTCACAACTAGACTAGCTTTCAGTGTGCAACTTTCCTCAGGAAAAGTTTCTTCCTGATTCACATGAAAAGAATGAAGCATGCATCAAAAGCCTTTGTTCATACAGAAATGCCCATTAAAAGAAGTTCCATTGTATCATAAGGCAAAAGAAATATTAAGGTGGATAAAGCATTTTGGCCCAGAGTATGTTTAACACATACATATACATTATGCTAGTGTGTAGCATATGACAATTAAGGGATTGGCTCAGTAAGGTAAAAGTATCCATTTTTATAAATACACATCATTATTGCTAATATGCTACACGTTATAATCCAACTTTTAAAGCTGCTTTGTTGGCTTCAGCCTTATAATTAACAGCTCACATTCATGGTGGCAATATTCAATCCCATCTGAAGTAAAGTAGCATAAATACAATTATGAAAACAAAAGGCTTATGCAACATCCCTCTCTAGCTTTGCTGTGTTTTTTTGTTTTGCTTTTAATTTAAAAGGTTCAAAGAAAACAAGTCCAGTTCACCACAAATTAGGAAGTCTCACAATGAGGTTGGAAACCAAGCTATAGGGAAGGGGTCAGGAAACACGGCATGCATTATAATCTAGTCTTTTTAGTCATACCACTGGAATACAAAAGTCCAATTTAAAGGCTAGACTAACAGTAGTAGGCAAAAAGCCAAGAGTAGACTTAGTTTGATATTTAAATTAAGATTACAACTTTAATCAGTAACAGCAAACTCACTCAGCCCTTTAATATATTCACAATATCTACTGCAATTGAATACTTAATTATGATACTAGTGTAGGTATGTATGTTCACTTTAAAAAGTTATTAAATACCTGCATCATGAAATTACATTCTTAAGACATTGTGTGTGTAAGAAAATAGCTCATGTGAAATGTTTCTGAAATGTATTTCTGCTCCTTTCCACCCCCTAGTGACCCCCCCGCCCCCCTAAAAGCATCCACTCACACAAAACACCCCTTATAAAAGGATGGAAATAGTGAAGGGGACTAACTAGGCTAGTTACAGCACAGTGCTTAACAAGGTTCAAGACCGAACCAGATCAGAGTTGGCCAAAATGTGCTCACAATACATGACTGTCTAATAATTCCTTTCAATGCATTCTATCAAACTCAGTCCACTTTTGGTTCATTGCAATGACAAGTATTTCATATATACATATAAACACGAGACTCCAGCTTTACTTTAGCTTGTTTTTGCAAAGCGTTTTTACCTTTCCATTTGTTTTGTTCTGCAGCAACTACAAGAGGTAGGCATAAAGCATTTGAGAGCTTCTTTCCCGAGGTCCTATTACTGGTTCAATTTAGTGGGATATGACAGAGATCAGACATACTTTTTCTGTGATTTTACTGGGTGTAGCCTTGTGCAATCCAGCTGGACAATAGCTATGTGACCCCTGGCTTTGCTAGGCCAGCACACCATGGAGTAAGAAGCTGTTCATATCCAGGAGGATATATGTATAATTTTTAATTAGTTTACTGCAGAGCATTCACATAGCAAGTAGATGTCAGGACCAATTCTCACCATTTCTATTTGTACATAGGAGCAAGGTACCATTTGGCCAAAACTACAGATGTATTTTCACAGATGCAAGTGCCATGCAAAAATAAATTAAGGAACAGATACCAAAACATACAAGTAATAAAACTACTGAAGGTAGATTTTCTTAAAAGTACTTATATAAACAATTTATAATACTTTTGATCCCCTTTCTCTTTTGACATTCACAGTTACAAAGCTGTGGCTATACATCAAGGATTTCTTCTGCAGTGCCTCCGCAACGTAATCTGTAGCGTCCTGTCCTCCAGCTAATAGTGGGGTCCCACAAAGCAGATAGGAAGATATAAATTGTCATGGATTCTCTGATGAACCAAGCTACTGCATAATCAAGTTTTGAAAAGCACAAAGCACCACCCTGGGAACATAAGAACAAGTATTTTAACATGCTATTCCAAAGGAATTTTGGAGTAATCTGTAACACAAGTGTTTTAACAAGTCTATACTAAAGCTTACTGAACAGATTTACATTATCAATAAACTTCTTTGAATCCAAGAAAGTTTTCCTATTCAAAATATTACCCATATTAAACATCCAAACCTTGACAGAATGATCCACAAGGTTCAAAGAATGACTTCTACGTCAAGCAAAAGGCAAGGAAAAGTGTAAATATTTTTTCCTTTTGACACTCTGTAAAATTGCATTCAAGCAGGCACTAGGTTCTTGCCACAGACCGTAGAACAGCAGCATCTAGATGGGAGAAGTACACTGCTCTTTCCCAGGAGAGTGAAATTCAAAAAAATCCAAGCTTTTAGCCTTGGAAAAAAGTGGGATTAAAAAGAGCTTAGAGCCTCTGCCTTTTCTGTTCCTTTGAGGATTTCCAGCCACATGCAGAGCTAGAAACTGAGGAGGCTTCAGAAAGGGGAAGAAGAGGCACAAAGCTCTTCCCCTATTCCATGTACATATCACTCATGGTGAGATGAGGACTCAGAAAGGTGACTGTGAAACCTGCCTGTTGGTGTTCTACACAATCAACAGCAGAACCAATTTATCTTTCTAGTAACTGTTAAGGCTACAAAAAGAATATTTTTCATAACAAGAGCTATTTGATAAATTTGTATACACAAGCAATCGTGGATCAGATTTAGACGGAATATGGTCACAGAAAAACTAGTGTAAGGAATTGCAGCATTAAAACAGCAAATGCTGTACTGACTTGTGACATCCTTCTGTATTCAAAGTTTTGCTGAGGTTTCACTTCTTCCAGCGATGGAAAAGAATTATTTTTAGAAGACTACATCTGTACAATAAATCCATTATTCAATATCAAAATAGAGTAAGGCTAAGTAATTGTATACTTAAAATGTACATATAAGCCTCAAGTCATACAAGACAAAAGAACAACTAAGAAAGGAAGAAAACTAAAATCCCACAAAGCTGCTGTTCTTGGACTCAAAAAAAAAAAAAAAAGCTTAAAAATTCTGGACATGCTGAGGTAGAGCAGACTAGAAACAAATGCAGAAGAGGTAAAGTCAACAGAGGAACCAACTTTCAGAGCCTATGTAGAGGTAGGTGCACTTAGAAAACAAGATTACGAAGAAGCACACTTACACCCTCCTTTCATGCTTCTATAACTGAAGCTGGAAGGTGGGTAGGGGTAGCAGTATTTGACCTGGTATTTCCTTGACAATGTCAAGAGAAGTATTTTGTCCCTACAACCACATTAATCTTTTTGCTGAAGTAGTTGGCACTAAACACTTTCATAACCTTTGGAAAAAAAAAAAAAGGCTACATACCTGAACACCTCTTAGTTGAATGTAGTCAAATATAAACCATGCCAAGCAGTGACACATGAAAAATACCATTATATCCCATCTGAACACATGATGAGCTGCCCAGCCAATAACTAGACTGGCAACAAAGCACTCTGAGATTGGCTCACAGATTATTGTGGCAGGCAACATGTTAATTCGCAGTTTGGCCCACCTAGGAAAAACAAATAAATAAGTTCCAACTATAGACAATTCTTTATGTCTCTTCTACAGACTCATCAGGTGAAGAGCCAACAGGGTCATTCTCAATGCTAGTTTAATCTCATCTAAATGCACACCTCCAAATTAAGCATGGCAAAAAATCTCCCTTTCAAACATACTGTGCATAGTATTTAAAAGGTATAAAGTTGTGGGGTTTTTTGTTGTTAAGGTTGTTAGTTTTTTGTTTGTTTGTTTGTTTTTTAAGATGTTAATATCCTAGTCCTACTTCTGTGGAAAGCTAGCACCCCTCTTCCAGCACCAACAAGAAAAGTGCTTCAAGACATGCACTGGAACTTCATCATTCTGCGTATTACATTAAATGATGAGAGCAAAACTTCTATCAAAATAATTTAAGTTTTCCCCATCAGAAGCAAGTAAGAGGTGAGAGGGAGAAGTAAAAAATTGAGATTTTACCTGATCATTCTGGACTGAAACTGAGAAATAGAATATGAACCAGAGTTTTGCATTGCAACTTGCGTGGCCATTGCAAATTTCCAGCCCCTGAAATATAAATGTGTATTAAAAAAGAGCAAATAAGAAATGCAATGACCCATTCTAGAACAAACATCTAAGAATTTTATTAGAGTTGGAAAGTTTCTTTGGTATATATGCCACATTTTTATGTATAAACAAAAAAATTGAGCAGATTTTATCAAGTCTCTTGCTTGGAAGGTAGAAAATACCACTTGAATAATATTTACTCCAAGTTCTCTGAAACTTTTTTCCTAAAGGAATAGACTGCACTGTGACTTAGTTATTTCTCCAAGAATACATTGACAGGACAAAGCACATGTAAAATCTGTTTGCTGTATACATGTGAAACTGACCCAACCGCCTATACGTAAAATAAGAACTAAAACTGTACTTAAAGCAATAAGCAATGTCCAGTCATCTTACCGGTCAGCTATAGCTTTGGCCATAAAATAATCTTCCGCAATGTATTGTGCAAAAGCTATCAGTCCTCCAGCTTGATCCAAGACATCCTTCCTCATCAAGCACGACATTCCTGTCACACACTTAAAGCCAGTTAAATTGGCTGAAATATATGACCTTGGATGTGAAGTTCCAAAATAAACCTGCAAAAAAGACAAATAAGACTTTTAAAGATCTACCTGTATTTATGCAAGTACTACCCACAGCTTTCTCCTGTAAGTGTTTGGAAAAAAAAATAATCTAGACATGGCCAATTATGATGATATATTTGGAAAGATCTTTACCACCCACATAAGAAATCTAACGCATCACCAAAACTGATAAATCTAATAGTGATATGTGCTGTTTTTATAAATTTAAGCTGTTCATTAAATCCATGTATTGAACTATCATATTTAATTTGGTATTTAATTTCTAATTAATAGAGGTTGTTCTCAGGAAGTACATACTAAAATCATACTACCAATCATTAATAGATTTGGTTATAGAAAAAAAGATATGCTGCTTCCTTGTAACCATCAAGTAAATTTCTGCATACATTCTCAAAGAAGCTTACTATATGGTGGTATAGAACCAGTGGAATTTTCTTCTTGCTTGTACATTAAATAAACAAATAGGCAAAATAAAAAATTCAGATTGTAAGCAAGTTTTGGTTTTGTAAGATCTAATATAGAACCAGCAATTTTCTACAGAAAGACAGTTGGTACTGAGCATTAGCACCTCTCATTACTTCTTCCCATTGATGGTCTTACTAATACACAAACTCATTCAAGAGCCATGCTGATCTTACAGCATACTGGATATGGGAAAAAAAAGCTCTTCCAGGAATACAGTAGCAAGAGATGAAATACTGTACTAAGGAGATTAACAGCAATACTAAGAGTTTTGTGCTACTGCTTCTTGCTCCCTTAAAAAAAATAAAATTCAGACTTTCTGCTGCAGAAAACTCACACGAGCTGCTCTCTCTCCGCTGAATTTCCCTGCACTTTTGTCTCTCATATTTTGCCTTTGACTAACATCAGACTCAGGGCCAAAACGCCTCATTCATGCCAGCTTAGAATAAAAGATAATTGATTAAACTACTTGCCTTGAGACAAAAGGAATAAACAAGAAAACTCAACCTCTTCATTCTACAAAAGAGAACTTACTGAGAATAGAGAGAGGGAAGAATAGGACAGATAAACATAAGTGATATAAAGATGATAGACAGAAATCAGCTGTTTACTTTCTCTTCCAAATGAAGCATTAGGAGACATGAAATACACTACAGAAGAACAAAGTTCAGAGTGAACAAGGTGGTGGCGGCTGTAACTGTGGAACTTCCTGCTACATACAGCTGTAGATGTTGAAAGTCTAAATGGACTGTCTAAATAGAATGGAAATGGAATGGAAACGTTCTTCTAAGAAAACCATTCCTACTAGTATATTGAGTAAACAAACAAGACTACTTTCTGTTCAGGATCTCTCCCAGCTTTCTGGTATCTTCAGCTGAGCGACTACTATCTGAAAACAGCATATATGCCTTGCTTAGGTTCTGTTCTCAAAGGTGCTGCTTGTAAGCTGAGTTGTAAATAAGACACTGTATGAAAAGGACTATTCTGGCATACAGCCATTTTTGTATTCCTATTCAAAAGGAAACATGGAATGAATAGCCTTTTCTGAATAAGTAGTGAAGAAGTTTCCAGTTTTAATTAACTTTAAAATAAAATCCTGCACTCTTTCCTGGAATTGCAAACTTAAATATTCAATCAATGTTTAGTGGACTGTGGTTGAATTTTCAAACATTTAAGCATTATCCTAGATAGTCTGAAGTGTAACTGCAGCTAAAATAAATGAAACATCCCTTCACTTAAAAGCTGCAGAAGGCACTATACAACTTTTAATCAGCCAGCAGTGTATTAGGGAAATAAAAAGTATTGCACTGACCTGTTCCAGGGTAGCAGCAAATCCCTGTCTGTCTGCAACATAGGGAAGCCCATGGACCAGGCCTACCTTCTCAGTCATTTGATTGGCCATATCCGTCAATGTGTCTGGTGTGACTAAGTGACAAATGAGAGAACAATTCATTGAACAGTTCTGTCATTAGCAAGAGGCTACTCTATAGAAAATGCAGTGACTCATTTTATTACGAAGAGCAGGTACACTTCAGTGTGCAGTACTTTCAGGCAACAGTGTCAGTAAAACAGTAATTATGATTAGCATTATTATGATCAACAGCAATTAGAATGAAATCAGTTAGATTTTTTTTTAATGGTATTTATACCTTTTAGATATGAAGCATCTTTATTCTGTGAAAATATCTTTCCAGAATTTCTATTTCTATTCTCATTTAAAACAATCCCCCACAACCGCTTACTTGCAGCGAGTAAGAGCAATAAAATTGTCATCACATTTCAACACCCACCTACCTCGGATTCCACTATCACAGATCCATATCAGATCATATTTGGCAACTTCATAGCCAGGCATTAAGTTGTTAATTTTGGGGTTGATGCCAACCTTCTTGCCACCTAAAGAAAAGTGTACACAAAATGCATGCTTTTTTACAATCTAGGCTCAATATTCCAAATACTTAGATGTGTTAACTGAAACAGAATAACCTTTCAATTCTTTAAGTCCAACTTAATAGGAAGATTAAAATTTTAAGTGTTCCTTCACTTCCATATTTTAGCTCTTACCACAGTTATGCAGAGGGTTAAAAAGGAAAAGGATTCAAGTGCTTCCTCATAATGCCAGGGTAATAAGGTTAATGACATTGAAAGGACAGTAGAACTAAAAAGCTTGTTACTACATTCTGTAGGGTCAATGCTGATTGCTACTACTGATCATGATCATTACGCTCTAGGGCAATTTTATAAAAAAAAAAAAAAAAAAAAAAAAAAAAACACAGAACAGAAGCAAAAAAAGTGAGACAGTTTGCTCCTAACAGATACGATTCAGTTTATTTCATGTCAGACAATCATTATAGCTTTCTAGTTAAAACTAGTATTTAGTTCTAATATGCCTTATTCCTTTCCTCTAATGTAATCAGAAAGAGAAGAAATAGACTCTCAGTCTCCAAGTTGATGAACAAGGATTATTGTAACACCTCAAGCTCAAATACACCCACAACATGAAGTAACTTCCTGCATGTTTAGTTCAGCACAGAGATGGGATTTAAACTGATGAATTCCAGAGTTAGTAGAAAAAAGCTGGGGGGTGAGGAGGGGCTTGCACAAATGCTTCTTCCTACAGTTTGGTTTTGTTTGTTTTTAAAACAAGGTCTCAAATTATGAATACAAAATTAATTCTATACTTCTCTCAAACAGATGACTAAGCTACAGAACCAACGCTGTCAGAACAAGACAACTATTTATTGCAGAATACTGTACAAGGAGTTGAAGGCCTAAAAAGATTTTTCAAGCTAGAGTCCCACCCCAGAGCTGCATTGCTTACCTATGAACAGCCTAGCATCAACATTTGGGTATTTGCCAAGGAGCTTTTTGCAAACATCAATAGCTGGATCATCATGATCTTGTACACAGAGTAGTACTTCATACTAGTAAAAAAAAAAAAAAAAGAAAAACAGAAGTGTACACAAATGCACAGATGTTTTTCTGTTTTGTTTTTACACACACACAATATCAGTATAGCTGAGGGAATAAGGCTTAATGGTACACCAAACTGAAAAAATAAAGAGCACTGCGATAGAATTGGAAAAAAAAAACTAATAGGGTTGTTCTACAGCTAAATAAGACTTTATAAATGTGCAACCACATACTTGTGAGAAGAACCTAAACCTGCTTCTTTATAAACTGTTGTCATTAAGAACATTCATTTTCCTGTTATTGGAAACGTTTTTACTGGGCACAAAACAAGATATTCTGGTACACACAAAAGGCAACATTTTTGCTCACATACGAATCTTAAAACCATGTTTACACTCTATGAAATTACAGTACACAAAATAATTAAAGAAATGATGATACAAGCCATGAAAGCGTTAGCTTTCACAGTAGACCAAGCAATCTGTATCTTGACTTTCAGTCAACATGCATTAATTTCCAAACTGCAGTATGTGAGAACTGTGATTGAATTTTATCTTTATCAACAGAGCCTGTAATGCTCTGAATGCTTGCATGGCAAAACAAGGAAGACACTTAAAAATGGAATTCAGACAGTCAGGTTTCCTTTTATACCCCTAACAGAACTCCCTAAGATATTAACACAAGCTTTATTGTACATCAAACTGCATCTTCCTTTTCTTTACTTTGTAGTAGATGTAGATGCACAGAAGATAATCCTTTGAGACCAGTAAGTGTGTACCTAAGCACATAAAAAAGCTAAGCTCAGGGACATGCATCTTGCCATTGTAATGTGTATACATTTTCCTCATCAAGAGAAAAACAGTTAGAAAAACTATCAAAAGGTAAACTGTAGCAGTTTCAGCAATCTACATGCTTATTACATGAACTACAGACACTAGAGTGAAAAAATGGCATTTTAAGAATCACTCAACATAATGTTTTGAAACAACTTTACAAGCTTGGAAGGAAACATTTGTTTCTGCATTTGCAAGAGATTCCCTGAATGCTCCTTACTTGACATAACCTTCCCTTCTCCCTGGTCAAATTGCTGAAGTATTACAAGAAGATAATAGAGTTCCATACAAAGAACATTCAGAAAATTTAGATCTCTGATCAAGATACCTAGTGGCCATTTTTACAGACCAAAAATTAAAAATTCAGCTTAAGAACAGTATTGTTGTTGAATCTTATTTACAATTGCTATGCCAAATGAGAAGTTCCAACTAATGATCAAGACAGCTACTTCAATCTCCCTCACACTGCTTTAACACCTACCTGAACTTTATTTTACATAATCAAAAATAAACCTGAATCTCAAGAGCTGAGTTCACTGACAACCATTTCTGATGTTTTCAATCAGTAAGAAGTAATGTTTTTACAGTATTGAATAAAATAAATGGAATAAATACATTCAAGAAAAAAAAAAGATAGAGGCAAAAATACAGCAATCAAAAGTTAGGTTGTGGAAATTTAAAATCATTAACCACTAAATGGTAACTTGGTCTAGCGCTACACACTACCCGATAGGCACATTTATGTCTCAGAGTGCTAGCCTAAACCCTGCTAACCTAAAGAGTCAGTAATACTTGCTTCACATTATTTTTTACCAGCATAAGAAGTTGAATTTAAAAGGCAAAAGACCTGCCTCATTAAGCAGGCAGGTCCTTCCACTATTATAGAATGGTCCTGACATCTTGAACATCAGGAAAATTACCAACTGAAGAAATTAGTGCTTTACTGCTGATTCAATTAAATATGCAAAAGAACAATTATTTTTGCTGGTAACTTGTAAAATTAATCTTCCATCCACAGTTGCATTGACATTTCTATATTCACAGTCTGAAAGAAATTCAACGAGAAAGAACAAAAAGCTTTGACATGCCAACATTTGTACAGAGAAAAATTCTTTTACACAGTAAATAGTCTTTGTGTACAGTAACAGACTAAAGAGCTACAAAGTATATGACTAAAGCAGAAGAAATACAAAGATGCTTATCTACATAAACATTAGAATCAGGTTCATTTGGATATAACAGGAATGGGGAGATTTCTGCCAAAATTTCAATATGCATAGAAGGTTAAAAAAAAAAAAACGTATTTGTAGTCAAGTGTTGAGATGCTCATTAAAGTCATAGAATGTCTTAAGGTCGTGTTGCAAGCTTTTTGCATTGTTTGCAATATTAGCATATAAAGAATGCCTCAAGTGTGCTTTAATTTATTTTGGCTACACTTAACCTTTATTTCACTTTTCAGTGAGTCAAAGGATTCAAACCTGCCTGCCTCAAGCTTTTCAAAGGCCATGGATGTCATTACAAAAGAACAATCCAATTTTTAGTAAGTTCCAAGTGTTTTGTTGTTGTTTTCTTTTCTGTTTGTTTGTTGTTTTTTTTTAAAACCCTACCAGACAGTTTTGAACTCACTCCTAAATAGCACACACAACAAAAACCTGCTGTACAGCTTACACATACCCTTGGCCTTCTACAGCTGAAGGAACATTACCAGAAATGGTTTTGAGAAAAACTGAGAAAAAAGTCTTTATATCTCCTGGGTTCAAAATCTTGGCCTGGAATAGCGTAGGAATAGCGTGTTTTCCACACACGGTAGCATAAACCAGGTACCCAAGGATGCAGTGAGCATTTCTACTTTATGCTGTACAGTCCTTAAAGCAAGGACAGACTCTGGCACTTATCACTTGTATTACTTATCACTAATAATTACAAAGTCAAACAGTGTTCAAGAGCAAATGGGAGCTTTTATTAACTATTTATTTTCCTGCAGTGGCTAAGTGGCTTGGAGACTCTGCACCTCAACAGTTTTTTATAGGATAATCTCATCATTGAGCAATTCTTTGTTATTAATGTCTAGAGTATGTTTTATTCCCAAGTCTTAGTCATGTTTCTTCATAAGCAGCTTTTTTAAGAGCAATATTTATTGTCTGGAACACATAAAACATGTAATTACGCATTAGCTGTGGAAGGAAGAACAACTCACTATACAATCAAGTTGAATAGCTCTAGCACAAACACTTGATATCAGTTTAGAAGGCATAAGAGGAAAGACTGTAAATAATATACATACTTTGGGATAATCCAGTTCAAAGAAGGTTTCTAAATTGTTGATCAGATTAGGATCCACACCTTTCAACGGCTTGAGAAGTGAAACACCAGGAAGCTTGCTATACGGCTGTTTATCTGTAGCTTTCTTATTTAGGTGAAGACGCCTGTAAGAGAAATAACACACCACCATAAAAGAATGAAGATATGCTAGAGAACTCTATTCAAAATACTGTAAACACTAAGGAACTCGGAAATTAAAAACTGCTACAAAACTTGGTTTGTTCAGCATTTTTAGACCTGGTGACAGTTAACATGTCAGAGGCAATGCCCAAAGAACTTCAGCGCTCAATAGGTTAAATTCAACCTCGTTCAACTTTCTATATATTTCAGATAAACTTCCAAACAGTACACATTTTGAACAGTAAAAGTATCACTTTCTGCAGTCTAATCGGGAGATGAGATTTTCCTGCCTTCCTACAAAGTATTTAGAATTATTGGTATTACAATGGGATAACCAGAAGAACAACTTACTGTAAACAATAGAAAAAAAAAAAAAAAAGAGTCATGTTATTTTTCCTATACTAAATTATGCAAAACTTAAATCAAGCTAAAAGTACAGGGGAAAACTGATCGGCAGAATCAACAGTTAAACATCTCCGAGAAAAGTACAACTATCAACTATAGTGTAAATATCCTAAAAATTAGATACCAGACCTGGTCAGAATCACAGATAAAGTGAGAAAAAATCTAGACTATCACTAATATTTCAGCAATAAATATACAAAGTAAAATTTAAAATGCGCCACAACTCACTAACATGAATGTTTAATTCTATGCTCCTGTGTGAATTAATGCAAAATTAAATTCTCAGTGGGCCAGAACACAATAAAATTTTAATGAAGTAAATATGTAATCTAAGTAACTGCAGAAAAAAAGTAGTTGCTGAAACGTAACATTTGCAAATTACTACAATATCCATCTTTGCAAAATGAATTCTCATCTACTGTGTGCTTCAGTAGTATGAAAACATGCGCAGTACTCAGACTGAAATAATATTTTATATTAAAATTTTGTACAATTCACAAGATGCTGCCTAAAAAAGAGAATAAGGCGGTTGTCCGCTGTGTGGAATTCATCCTAGTTAAATGGCAAAACACGAGGTCATGTTCCTACAGCTTGTTCCTGAAGAATGTGCCTGATGAAGGGAAGCTATTGATCTACTAAGAGATTCCAGTAGTTCTTTACAGTTTTCCCTGAAACGGGACAGCAACATCCTCACGTGTTACTTCCTCTGCTTCCCCAGAATGCTCCTTTGAACGAGTTTTGCAGCTGGACACCAGAAGCTCAGCACAGAGAGTACCAGCAATGGTTGGTCCAAAAGACAGAAAGACAGAGATGACTGCCCTCACGCTGTCACCAAGCCTGAGCCCGGGCACTGCAGAGGTGAACCAAAATTGTCTTGCAGAACAATTAACAGAGAAGGGACAGTCAGAGCGAAACAAGGAAAGTAATAGTTTTAACAGTTCAGAAAGCTACCACAATGATTTCCTTGCCAATGTTCACATAAACATAATGCCCTTGTTTCCTGTTAAGTATGAAGGGAGAGCAAATAATGTAACTTTGAAAAGGAGGAATAAGAGGCATGTAAGGCAAAAAATTAAAAAAAATCCATTTTAGCAATGCATACATAAGGATTTTGCCTTGGTATGCAAAGCTTAAGAACAGGGTAACAGGGTGGGAAGAGAAGAGTGAATGGAGAGAGGAGAGGAGAAGAAAAAAGGGAAGGTTTGTGACAGAGAACACGCAGCAAGTGACAGGACTGCAGAGCCTCGCCAGGCATTATAGCACAAGCCCTGCTGACGTGCAGCACTACGGAGGTGACTGAATTACATAAAGGAGAGCCTACACACGCTGCGAGTGAGGAAAGCCCTAGAAAACCTGCAAATGGGGCACGTGGCATGACCAGGATCCACCCAGCTACACAGCACCACAGACTGGGAATTTTAACAGAGCATAGTTCAGTGGGATAGCCTGCTACCCTACAGGCAAGCCATCAGATGACCTGCTACTTGTCACGCCGCACTGAAGCAGCATCATTTTACACCGATACGGACGACTTGTGCACTGACATAACCTGAAGAAGAGTGGAAATGCTACAGCTGAACACCTATCATCACCAGAGAAACTGACCAGCCATCACGGGAAATAAATTAAAATACTCAGGGCTAGCAGCTCAAGGCCAGGCTGGATGGGGCTTTGGGCAGACTCAGGGCTAGCAGCTCAAGGCCAGGCTGGATGGGGCTTTGGGCAGCCTGGTCTGGAGGGAGGGGTCCCTGCCCGTGGCACTGGGTGGTCCTTAAGGTCCCTTCCAACCCAAAGCAGCCTCGGAGGCTGTGGCTGCACAGGTAGTTGAAATAGCCCAGGAGATCTTTGCTTTGGGAAGAGGCTGCTTTCCCTGCTTGTCATTCTGAACCCACACAAACACACACACCCTCTGGTCAGCTCCCATCTTAGTCAGCGGAATCATTTCACACGGGGATTTGTGGAGAGCAGCATCTGTGATGGAATACCAGATCTGGGCTCGGAGCATGAGAAACAAGAGGGAGATGGTTTCTTCTTCTGGAAGCAGAAAAGTAAAAAGCAGGAGTTCACCAGATTCAAGGGACATCCTACTGAGCACTTGGAGGTCTACGACACTATTCTTTTTTAGGGTCCTTCCTCAACTTCAGAAGGATTTGAAAACTGCAAAACAGATCTGTAAGCAGAACACATCACCTGTTACTCCATTCATCATGTCAGCATTTTCTCAATGCAGTTTAGCAAGCACATACTCTGGAAGGATGGCCAGGATGATCAAGCAGCTTCACTAACAGCGAAGAGAAGGTTCCCCTGGCGTTCCTCCTCTCCCTTGCCTGTTTGGTGTCAATACACTTGCAGTGGGATGAGGGTCAGTCCCCTGAAAACCCCTCCACAGCTGGCTGTCACAGAAGTTGTCCTTCGCAGCATCCTCTCCCTTCCAGCTTGCTCCCTGTCCTCACCAGAAGGGCTAACCAGTATCAGCTGCTGGTAGAAAACACTGCTGCCACTTACAAGACATGCCACTCTCCCTGGCATGGCTGCATGGAAGAGGCTTTCCACACACACTCACAGAAAAACGCAGAATTAAAGTCTCAAGGAGGGGTAGAATGAGGCATAACCTGGGCTGTGGTGATTACACTTTTTCAGGAGGGAAATGCTTTCAGAACACAAACATCAATTTGCTCTTCCAGTTCTGGGAATCAGGAGCTCAATTAGCGGGTGGTAAAGACAAGTACAACCATACAATGCAGAACAATAAAAATCTTATCTCGTGCAATTTAACATTTTTAACTTCAAGCCTTCATACAGAGCTGAAACTCCCTGCGACGTGCTTTCTGAACAGCTTAACATGTTATCACAGAAGTCACATTCAGCACAGGCAAAGGTGGTGCAGCCTTTTCAAAGGTGGGGTTTTAGATTTTGATTTATTTTTTAACTCCGTGTTTGAAAAAAGCTGAGGCAGGAAAAAAGAACAAAAAACTTATCTTTTGGAAATAAGTAAGAGCAAACAGTTTAGACCTCAACTGAAAACCTCTAGCAAACACCCCCCTTTTTTTAATCTAGAAATTCCTTCCCTACTCCCCTCTCTTATCCCCACACCCACAAGATAAAAGGGAAACAATCGGGCTCCCATACAATAGGCTGCAGTTAAACATAAAGGGAACCCTTTTACCATCCAAATCCTAGGTCCTGCACAGTTTGCGTGTGCTTAACAAAAGCTCTGCGTTGCCTGCGCCGCAGCCATTACTGGATCACGGCAAGCACTGAAACAAACCTGGTCCTGCTCGAAGCCTACCTGCAGGCTGCCATCAAAACAGCAGCTCACGCCTGGCTTCTGCTTCCCCACACCCTATAAAGGGCCACGGGATAGATTGGATCAGCTGGCTGATCAAACCGAGAGCTATCCCACGGAAAGAGCTCGCTACTGCTCTGAGTCACCACGTTGCCACACGCTCGCTACAGACAGATTAGAGCGGCAGAAACGTTTAGGAAGGTGTAGGGGTGGGAGGGGATTTAGATTATCCATTTGGGCAGCAAATGAAGAGCCAGCGAGGCACAGAAGTAGAAGTGCTTTTTGATACAGACTCCTTGCAACGAGTGTCAGGCAGCTTCAGAGGACTGCACTCTGTGTTTTATTTATGAGGGCACCTCCAGCGGATGGCCACAGCTCTGCGCCAGGTAAACCACTCGCAGCAGTGAGGGCTTAGCACAGAAGCAAGTCCCCCCAAAAAAGCATGAAATGTTTAAATAAAGCTTTGTAAGATTTGCACTGTGAGATAATGCAGTTCAAATCTGAATCAAAAAAGTTTTCTGACTTATTTTGCAATTCTGTAGGGAGAAAATAGCACATCATTATTAATTTCATAAGGGACAAGTTTAAATGACAACATCGTTTTCTCAACTTTAAATAACGTGCTTCCTACAGACCCATTGCTGCTCTTTACTGCTCCCACCATGCCACTCATCAACATTTTCCATTTTCTTCCCCCTGAAAGCTTCCAAAACAGTTAACTGCAAGTAAGAGAATTGTAGTAATGACTGGCCAGAGATGGAATGAACAAATCAGACATAGTGTCAATACTTTTCTCCTTATTTTAGTGGCTGACAGTCCCCTTTTTAAAAAAAAAAAAAAAAAATAACTCATTTACATGTTTACAATGTTTCCAGAGTACAAAATAGCAGCAGAAACCTCACCCAAACACCAATGTACTCAAGACTGAACACACAGTCCCAGTCCCTCCTTGTATCAACTGAGATAATAAGAAAGCTACACACCTTGTCTGGCCTACAGGGCTGTCAGTGCTCTCTGCAACTGTCTTAAGGGACCTTCAAGACTTCCCAATAAAGAAAGCAATTATGAAAACCTTCCAAAGAAAACATTAGACTAATTTCTATACTCAACACAATATTAAAGGCTTCAGAGAAGTAATCCCCCCACTCCCTCAGCAGATGGGAACCAGAAAAACCACCTTTGCAAATTTCATCTGTCTTAGGTACCAAAAAGCCACAAAAATATACACACAACACTTTGGTCACAGGCCCTAAAAGAAAAAAAAAATCCTTCCTTCCTATGTGATCTACGTAA